AGTGAGTGTTAAGAGCATGGGTGCCAGGGGAATGGGAGGTCCAGGGTTCAGATCCAATTAATGGGTCCGAGCCATGGTAGATGCGTGGGGGGCACCAGAAGGGATCCTCGCCTAGGGTGCAAAATAAGCTGGGGCTGGCCCTGCTTCTGGGCAATCCAGACCTGACTCATGAAAAAGATTGTGTCATTCATTCCTCATAAGGAGGTCCTCCACAACACCTACTAGATCCCGTAACCTAGAAGTGCCAGGGACTGAAACTGAACCTTCTGCATGCAAGACAAATGCTCTACTATTGAGCCATGAGCTCACACCTATTGAAGTCTGGGAAAACACGTGAAAATGAAAGTGTTTTCATGAGATTCCCTGGCATCACAAGGCAGGTGATGTCCTTCCCCAACACTTGGGCTTCAGAAAAAAGACTGCTTTTTTAAACCGGAGAAGTTTAGCGTAAAGGATGAATCCTCTGGGAGATCATGAGAAAGAGGGATAAGAAGGATAAGAGTTTCAAGCAAGGATGAACACCAGCTTAACCGAATAAGCAGCTTTTGTATGTTCTGAAAGCCAAAGAGTGCCTCCAGTGAGTGCCTCTAAGCTGTACATAAAAAAAGGAAAGGAACAGTGCAGGGCTGACAGAAGCCATTCCATGTACTATCTGACTGAAATGTTTCCATCCAGTCAGCCTTGTATATTCAGCTGAAACGGTATAAATCGTATATCTTGCTTTCCAGCCTCGTTCCATGGGAAAAACTAAACACATGCGGGAGGGTGGTGCATTTTTTTTTAAAGGTCCGGTTTCTCCGCTACATCTGTGGTTAACAGTTAATAAACACAAGCTGTTGCTGCTCAGGCTGCCAAGAGGTCTCATCGACTCAGCTGCAACAACACGGAAAGCCAGGTGACTCACCTGATGATCAACATTTCCGACATGACCCCCAAGTGGCCTCTCCCCTCCCCTGGTGCCCTGAGTGCTGATTCTCAAACAAAACTCACCCCTACTCCTGGGGAAAGGATTGCACTGGACATATATATGATCAAGGAGAACTGTTATGTTCCCTATGGGGATTCTTTTTAAAGTACAGCAAATGCAAAGCAGAAATGGTTGGATTCCACACCCCCTTGCAGTGCTGCATTGATGGCACAATCTGATTGCCGTGTAACGGTTTATCATCTAATTTGCTCTCTAATTTGGAAGATCTTCCGCCATCCACCTAAGATGGAAAACAGATCACAGACTAACAAGAATGAAAGCCTTTGCTTCCAATTTGCATCCTGGGGATAGGTGTAAAAAAAAGAAAGGCTAATAGAGACAACTGCTCACGGACCATGGTTATTCCCCCAGGTTATGAATTTCTGCATTTTCTGGAACCTCATCAGCAAGCAGAAAACAGATTGCTCTTACATTTCAATTAGTAAAAGAGATAATATTGTTGTTCTGAAAATTTCAAGGCTGGCTGGAGTAAAAATTCATTTCAAATTAAGCGGGGGGGGGGCTATTATGCATGGATGTCTTCCTTTGCTTTCACTGTGCATGTCTGTTGGGTTTTCTCTCAGATCCCCCGTCTACTCTTTTGCTGCCCACTGAAGGTCACTCCCTGCCCACATCAAGGTTGTTCCACCAACTCTGCACCTTCTGCCATCCTCCTCCTTTCATCAGTGTAAAAGCTCCATTTCCCCCCTTGTTTTTAATTTTTTTACAAGCAGCATGAGTCTAGCGACACGAGACTATTGCTAG